ACGTTGGCATTCCAAGAATGGATTTGAACACGGAGAAAACCCGCGAAACACAAGATTGTCATATAGGAAACACCCGTGAAAGCCTCAAGAATAATATTTTTTAATTATATTTTGTAATTTTAACATTATTTTTAATTATAAATATAGGTTTTAATGGACGCCAAACACTTAATCTTAAACAAAAAACGAACAATATATAATCTTGGGGATGAAATCAAAGAAAATATTTCTAATATAGAGACAAAAGCTAAGAAAAACAAGATTTCTAATAAAAGTGTCCAAGATGCTTTAAAGGAAATACATGAAAAGAAAGAAGAAGGTAAAGAACGAAGACATCGAGAAAAACTTGAGTTATTTAAACAATTTTGTGAGAAATATCACGAAAAGAAAAGTGAACATAATCTTCCAAACACTTCCAACAAATAATTTACTTTATATATTTGTAAATCCCCCCTCGTGGTTAGCCGAGTAAATTATGGGGTACTTGCATTATTACCAAATATTTTACCAAATATTATACATATACCTTATATTGTGTTATATAATGCACATTACTATTTTTGTTTATTTTCTTTTAAAGAATGTTATATAGATTGAGGTATTAATAATAGAATACGTAAGTACAAAATGTAAGTACAATGGAAAAAAATAATGTTCATTTTACTATTTGTTTATTTTATTTTAAAAAATGTTATACAGATTGAGGTATTAATAATAGAATACGTAAGTACAAAATGTAAGTACAATGGAAAAAAATAATGTTCATTACTATTTGTTTATTTTATTTTAATTTTATTTTAAAAAATGTTATATAGATTGAGGTATTAATAATAGAATAGTAAGTACAATGGAAAAAAATTTAGATATATAGAACTATAAATATAAAAACATTCAGCAAGTAATAGATATTGTTTCATTTTATTCATGTTTTTATTTTTTATAAAATGTAGATTTTCCAAAAATCTCTGAATTAAAAAAATAACTTACTATTTACTATTATGAAATGGTATCGTTTATTTTATTTCTCTTCTGCTCTCCTCTCCTTTTTAATTCTACTTCTCCCAAGAAAATCATCGATATTAAACATTTCATCATTGAAATCGTTTATTAATTCTAGATCGAATGAATCCTTCAAATCAATACATAAATTGTGCAATACGCAACACGAAATTATAAATTTTGTCATTTTTTTGACCTCGTGAAATTGTATTTCCATTAACTGATGAAATCGTGACTTTAGCAAGGCAAATGTATTTTCAATGCGCACTCTAGTTCCACAAAGTTTTTTGTTGTATATTCTTTGCGATCGAGTAAGATTTCCATAATCTTTATAAGGTGTTAAAAGATATTCCCTTATCGGATAAGCACTATCGCCTAACAAATGATACTTTCCATTTTGACATATATCACTAATATATTTGCTTATGAAGGATAATGTAAATGTCCTGCTATCGTGAAGTTTGCCAGTCACTCCAGTGAAGACATCAATAAATCTCTTCTTATCATCACAAATTCCTTGTAATTTAAGACTCGTTTTGTCATGTCGATTAGTATAAGTAGATCTCATTTTATGTTTAGGAGTACGAATGTTTATGTACGTCAATACATCCTATTACATTTGGGAAACCTGATATCTGAAAAGGAATAATCATTTATTATTTTAATAACAATTTAATAATAATAAGTAATTTTCGAAATTTATTTAAGATGTAACCTTTGAAAAATGATAAGCCAACTCGTCTTTTTCTTCGTCATTATTAGGAAACTTTATAACATCTTTAGCTATGCTTAGAAGGTAATTCATAACTCTTGATAAAATTGTTCCGCAGGTTGAAATAGCTATATCGAATCGATCTGCTACGTTTCGCATCGATGATTTGTTTCCTGCAAACCTGTAAAACATACTTAAGTATATTATATAAATTTAGTAAAATTATATTAAAAATAACTTTTATTATTGTTCTGCACTGACCACAAAAAAGATAATATATGCTTTTCAGCAGATACTGTTGGTTTACCACCATGTATTTCATTTTTTGGGAAGAAATCTGATTGCTGAAAACCATCTATTAATTGCTCACATGTTTCTGGACACATTCTGAAATGGCTGCAGAACTGATAAATATGGAAATTATTATTCAGTATAAAAATAATATATTATGTACATTAATTATATTTTAAAAGGATATAGAAGTACTTAATAAGATATAACACTTACGGTGTCTTTCTCCATTTTTTTACACATGCCACATAATTTATGATTTTTGAAATTATTTTTCTAGTTCGGAGAGTTGAAATTATTTCTTCTTCCTCGCTTGAGCTTGAAGAAGATTCCAAAAATGCTTCCAAAATATTAAAAAGAATTAAATCTACACCCATTTTTGTTCACTTTGAAGCAATGTTCAACAAAATGTTACAAAACCACAGTAAAAGATATTAAGAGTAGGGACAAGACCCCGTTTTCAATTCAACTGCGCAGATTTGCTTGTCCCTATGTATATCCTTAACTGTGATAAAACGTGCACTGAACTGGGCACCGTCAAAATATCTCGTGCCACTTAGTGCACACTGAGTGCGTACTACGCGAGTGTCGTGCGATCAAATGAACACGTGACACTAGCCAAGTGCGCATTGGCACTGCCAATCGAACACGCTCTTGACACTGAGTGCAGCCAGTGCACCCCAATCACGCTATAAGTCACACATAGCGTTTTCGATTGGGGTGCACTGGCTGCACTCAGTGTCAAGAGCGTGTTCGATTGGCAGTGCCAATGAGCACTTGGCTAGTGTCACGTGTTCATTTGATCGCACGACACTCGCGTAGTACGCCCTCAGTGCACACTAAGTGGCACGAGATATTTTGACGGTGCCAGTTTAGTGCACGTTTTATCACAGTTAAGGATATACATAGGGACAAGCAAATCTGCGCAGTTGAATTGAAAACGAGGTCTTGTCCCTACTCTTAATATCTTTTACTGTAGTTTTGTAACATTTTGTTGAACATTGCTTCAAAGTGAACAAAAATAAGTTTCAGCTTTAGCACTGAAAATCTTGGCGTATTCTTTTGAACTTGCACTATTCAGTGCAACCCATGGAACTCGTCCAGTGTTGGTGTGAACTGAGTGCGCACTGGTGCGCACTAACTTTTGCCCAATCGAAAACGCTAACAGACTGATTACGGTAATATTTAATTAATTAAAACATTAAGAATGCGGGATCTGAATAAGGCAAGGCATTAATCCGGTTACAACCTAACCTTGCAACCGCCCGCAATTTTTCAGAGTCCGGCGAATAATAAAAAACGGACTAAATTAATTACAGAAGGATATGGAAAATATTCTACCGACTCAAATGATCACCGTAGCAGCGAGGAAAATAATACCAGAGACCATCCTCGAGAGAGCGGCAGAAGACGAAGGCGAGACCAGCAAACCATTGACAACATCGGAAACGCAGGAGAAACCCGCACGACAAATGATGTAGCAAAGCGGAATTAAATATTTTATTATTGTATTATTTTATCATATGTTAAAGATTATTTTATTATTTTATTATATGAAAGGTCAAGCCGAACACAAGGTGCGAAAAAAACAAAAAGAGACAATTAAACGATGATTATTTTTTAATTTTGTAACTTACAAGACCAGAAGGTCAATATATTCATTATTTAGATAACGTTCATACTGTTAAAACAGTTAATATTTTCATACGCAATTATTTCTATAATAAAGTTTTATATATTTCGTAACTATTTGATAAAAGTTCAACCTACCTAAAAATCCTACAGAACACAGGTACCGAAAGGGGATCCAATCCAATCCAGTGTGATAACTTAAAAGATAAAAGATGAATTAAATAAATAACATGTTAAACTAAAAGATGAAATAAATAAGAAAAAGAATGCTTACCCACAAAATGCTGAGATTGTTTTGGAGACCCTGAAAAAGATAAAAATTATTAACAGACGTTTAAAGCGATTATTTTACGAAAAAGGTTTGTAAACCATGTTATTTTAATTATTTCATCACAAAGGCATGTCAGCCGAATTATTTCACTTATTTTAGAATTATTTTAGAAGTCCTGAATTAATTGGAACACATTACATGAGTTAGAAAGAGAAGACAGAATTATTACGCTAGAGTGACAAGGACAGATGATCAAAATTATTTAAACTCACAAACCAGGTTAAAAATCCATTTAAGGAATTATTCCATATTATTTCCAAATTATTTACACTACGAATTAATTATTTAAAGTCCAGATTAATTATTTAAAATATATACGAGAATATGTTCCAGTTAAAGCAAGATAACATTAAGGCGCGCATAAAGCATCATAAAGGACCTAAAACTTCATATGCGAGATTATTTCGGTTAGTATATCTTATACAAAGTATTTTGGAATTATTCAGGGCAAAACTAGCCATTTCTTAATTAATTAGAAGTATTTGGAATTATTTGGAAGCACTTAAGCACTATTCACAACGCCTATGAATTATTTAAGGTGTAGACACACTCGCATATAAAGATTTGGGTTAATTTCTCAATATTTTGAATTATTTCGGCAAAAGGATTAATTATTTGATAAAAGACTAATTATTTAGAGTCACAGTGAATTATTTAAGAATTGTTTAACGATAAAAGAATTATTTCTAACACCTGATTGGTTCCCCCGTGCGTGGAGGGCCTTGTCGCGGCACGGGGGCTCACCCGGGGCTTTCTATGAGAGTCCCGGGTGCCAACACTCCACAGTACGGAGTCCCTCGCTAAATAGAGGGACTCTGTACGCCAGGGTCCGGCATCCCAAGGACCCTCCATGCTCCTCGGAGCATGGAGGGTCTGGAGGAACCATCCTTAGCAGGATGGGGAATCACTACGCCGGTAGGAGAAGGTAACTCTGACTTCAAATCCCAGTGACTCAGCACCGATAGAGGGTGGACTGCTCCCTTCCGAGAGCGGAGTGGTAGACGTCCACCACGGCCCCCGGGCCCGCGTGGAGCCCTCCCCTTCCCCCTTGGGGGATGGGGTGGTTCCCTCGCGGTACCGGGGACTGGAGCGACGACGCAGTAATATAGCTGCAGGCGGGCTCTGTCTTAGGACATCGAGCCCACGCCACTGGGGAAGCGAATGCCTGGTGGGG